CTGCAACATGGGGAAGTGTTAGCTATAATGAGTGTATTTTCTAGGTGCTATTTTGTTGACACCAAATAAGAGCATCTATTGATTGACCTCTCGCTACTTGCTGGAAACATCTCTCAATGTTTTATACTGAAAAATGCATTTAACCTTTGTAGACTCCTGGAGGTATTAACTATTACTGAGACACAGAATTATGAACTGTAAAATAAGATCAGAAGCAGAATTACAATTTGAACTCAGGCTCTGAGCAGAGAATTGGTCCTTTACTGTGTACCATCGCTGTCCTTTGGGTATGAATTTGGCTAAGTCACATGCACCGCTCCAGGGACATGGGCTTAGGAACCATTATAGGAGGTTCACTGTGTGGCTGTTATAGAAAGTACTTCTCATAGCCCTAACGCTTCGCTTACCTCTAGTCATTAGAGATAGGTATTATTTTTGTACTTCAGCCTAGTTTCATATTTTATTGCTATTTCAGCCAATGTTTATCAGACTGATAGAATTTCTTCTCCCATTTTATTATTATACTGTTTGCTTTGAAGCTTCAGTGTTCATTGTTAATATCATTGTTGGATTTTGAGGATATATTTATAAAAATAAGTATAAATATCTCAGAAACAAGTAACCACACCACTCCCAGATGGTGGTGCTGTTTCCTTTTCCCTTTCTTATAAAAAGTTGCATCGGTTACTCTGAAAAAATATAATGTGCTGTGTAGAGCATGGATTCTCACCATGTATAACTATACCCTGTTCATTTGCTGCCATCATTTTTGCTAACCTGAAGTAATTATTAGTATCCACACCAATAATATATATGCATTTTCATATACTTGTGCGTGTATTTCCACATACACATCAACACTTCAGAAATATTTTCCTGGTATGAGATAAAACTGAAAGTATTTTATTTATTTTTTATGTGTTTGGTACAGGGTCTACAGGGTCTCACTACGTAACTGGGACTCACAGTGAGTCTCCTGTTCAAACACCCAAGTGCTGGGATTATGGGCGTATGCCACCATGCCCAGCCCTGGGGGCGGGGCTAGCACAGCAAGCAGGCGCTTTAGTCCGCTGAGCTATCAGGCCAGCCCTGAAAGCATCTTTCTTCAAAGTACACAGCTAATCCAGTCTGGTTTCTCTAGTTCATTTTAGAGTTTAAGTTGAAGTTCTTCATATTGTTTTACACATGTGTATATATGCATATGTTTTATGTACACATAAAACTTCACAACAGTACTTACATAAAATCTGTTGAAATAATTAAAAGACCATTAAAGAAATAAAAGGCATTTCACAGAATCTACTAAACTATTTAAGAACTATTTACTTTATCAGTAGATCCAAGAGATTTCTCTTTAAAGCTCCCTTGTTAGCAGAGCATAGTTTCTATAATTTCTAGTTTAATTCAACTTCTGCGAGACTCTGACTTAGCAATCTTTGGGTCAAACGTCTAATGAAAAGAAAGGGTAGCACAGAACAAACACTACCTTAGAGACCTTACAGGTGACGAGGGACAGAAGTCAGGAGGCCCAACCTGGTGCCACCTGATGTGCCCCTTTGCACCTACCTGCTTTGGCTCTTGGACCGTGTGTGGCTGCTGTTTATAGAAACTTCATTTTGGCCATGAGAAGCCACGTCCTTATTTTCTCCCTTGTCTTATTTTGTTAGTTATCTGGGTCTGAGATTTTCATATAACACTCCCCAGTCTAGTTAAGTAGCATCTCATGCGTGAGAATTTCATAGCAAACTAGGTAGATATAAATTCCAGTTACTTGAACTCCACAGTCCCAAGATAGCCCAGTTTTAGTTTGCTTTTTATTTCTCTAGAAACTAAACAATTCTCCAAAAGTTATCTTAGTATGATTTCATCTGTACTCTTTTGTCTTGCCTTAATCTTATACATTATTGATCCATGCACAAGCTCAGGACTGTGAGAAGTGTTATTGAAGCTGGTATTTAGTCTTCTAAAGACAGAGGGCAGTATAAAAGTTGTATAGCCAATTTTGTTAAAATATGAAGACTGGAGATCAATTGAATCAATTGAATACATCCATATGTGGCAGTAGCCACAAGTGCTACAACTGGTTGGTGATACTATGTACAGAAGCTATACATTAACAGTTAATCAAGTTTTCTTTTCTTTTCTTTTTTTTTTTTTTGTAACCTGCTTCAACATCCAAGCCCTTGCTGTTTTACCTCATATCACCTAATGCAGCGTGCGTTTTTTCATCAGCTTTTCTACTGTCTTATAACTGCTGGCGAGGTGATGTGCTAATTAAAATTGAAAATCAAAAGGAAGAGACTCTGTGCTTTAGTTTTGGTGATGGACGGGAAGAGATCAGTTTGCTACATGAATTTATGGTGGCCAGTACGTACTACTGATTGTCAGTGCCAAAGGAGTATCTGCTTGGAAATGCCTGGTAGGAATTTGGCCTAATTAAACGTAGAGCACAGCATTTGCCAACCAGCAGCACATGTGTGAAGAGCAGAGCCCTGGGGTTTGAAAACCTGGGGGAGCGGGGAGGGGGAGTTGGCTCAGTAGAATATGCACCTGGCAAGTGCAAGGGCCTGAGTTCAATCCCCGGTTCTGGAAAAAAAAAAGTCCTCCTGGGGAGCACTGACAAAGCAGAGAAGGATGCCTGACCAAAGGCAGAATCCCG